CAAATGTACTGGTGACATTAAAATTAAAAACAATCACGTCGTATTTTGTGCAGATTTTGCTGTGAATAATAAAAATACTGATGACTCGGGAGCTACGGCTACGGGAGCTACGGACAATGTGCGAGGACTTGGTCACAAATTTGAGAGAATCCGAAATAAAGAAATTGTCGTAGCCAATAATCCAAAAGTTAAAGATAAAGCAGGAGATGGAATAAGTTTGTAGATCAAAGTAAAAAGTCACTGAGGATACACTACAAAAACACACTTTTGTCTATTTTCCACCATATTTCATTATTGTTGACTAGTTTCGACTATTACACCATTTTCAAAACTTTTGTGTTGACAATGGTCAACAGTAAAGAAATATCATGGAAAATAGACAAAAGTGTGTTTTTATAGTGTGTAGTGTAGTGAACATTAATTTCCACAAAATAAACAAGTCGTCAATCAAAGAAGTGAAAAGTAAAAAGTATAATTGAAGACTCAACTGTTAGAAATGCATTGCTTGTTCCTGATCTGACGACACATTTGTTGGCTGTCAGTCAAATTGTACAAAATGGTTCATGTGACATCTGATAAAGAGAACTGTCAAATTGTCGATGATAGTGAAACCATACCAACGGCATCATATATGTATAGAATGTACATACTGGATATTGAGACTGAATGCACATACTTTTGTAGAGCAACCGTCTCTTCAAAGTGAATAAAAAGGAGTGATAGCTATACAAACGTGAGTCGCCAACAATTTCTTAAATTTCGAGATCAGTTGATGACATATCAGTATCGTTTGTCAATTTACTCTGTTCACATGTTGTTTATTAAGTTTTTGTGATATCAATTCTTTTATACTACGAACATAGTTGTTTTTACAAGTAATGTCTGCATGTTATGCAACATTTTATAAATCCACGTCGGCCGAATGGAATGCTACTGATGATTGATCTTGGTCATTCTTTTATCCATTCTCTCGGACTGTTCAGTAAGTTGTAGAGTGATGGATATGCGATCAGGGTTTGCAAAATAAAGTTGATGTAACCCCTTGGCTGCAAGTTCACTGTCATACAGTCTATCACGTATGTAGATAGAAACATGTCCATCCAATAACAGTCTGGATCTACAAACTCGTAGGATCTTCTGAAGTGTTTGATGAGAAGCTTGTCGTTGAACTCGTTTTCGGCGTCCTGGTCATTATTGTGGACGGGTTCAAACATAGGTGGATGTTGGTAGTTCGTCGTCGGGAAGATCACAGTGTGCAGGTAGTTGGCAAAAGGTGGAGATTCCAAAATTTTCCCGGGTTTGAACATTTTTTCTCTTCTGAATTTGTCCTTTCATGATGTTAAAACTGTTAGTGTTCAGTTTGCCTGATAAGTCTTCCACTATAATTTTTTTAGAACTAAAGTCTGATTTACTCTCATTAACGTTTGAATAATTTTCAACAGAAGAAGCTGGGGAGAAATCTGTTGTGTCAGGAAACTTAGTTATATCAGACCAATTTTGTGGGCTAAAGAAAATTTCATCAAGACTTTGAGAAGGAAAAATAGTGTCAAGAATGGATGCATTTTCTCTCTGAATTGCAATGCTAATTCGTTGTATAAGAAATGATCTTCCTCTAGAATCGTTCGAACAATATCTCTGAAACAAACGGAAGCAAAGGAACCAAAGCTACCAAATGTTTCGAAGGCAATTGGATAGAAAATATATCAATCGTCCAGACAAATGTATTTCCCTTGTTTCATTTTTTCAGCATATTCAGCGGCTCCACCAGCTGTTTGCAATAATTTTTATTTTTCATCTCGTAATAGTTCAATTTTTTATTTTTTATTTTTTGGTTGTTACTTGTATCTTATTTCATTGTAATTTCAGTTTTTTTGCCTAATCTGATTGTTATTTTTCAGCTGATCTTTTTTAATTTTTTACAGATTCTTTTAGGGATTTCAAATCAATTCATATCATATTAGACAATGGAAGTCCGAAGTAATGAAATTCACCACGAAACATTTGTCAACCACCTTCAAACAAACGTTATATACTGGATGTTGAGACTAAATGCACATAAAGCATCCTTTTCTTCTAAGTGAAAGAAAAAAAGAGATAGCTATAAAAACGTGAGTCAACAATTTCTTAAATTTTGAGACCAGTTGATGACATATTAATATCGTTTGACAATTCATTTAGTTTAATTACATGTTGTTTATTGAGTTTTCGTGATTTCAATTATTACATAGTTGTTTTCACAAGTAATGAACCGTGGGCATATATTATTTCACAGTAAATGAATCTCACATCGTAATTATAAATTTCAACCATAAATTGAGAACCGCTTTGTCTAACGTTCTGCATACTGGACTATTGAAATTGATAGATATAGGAAAAGAAAAATGAATAAAAAAACGTCAGATACAAATTTATATGAGTGATATTTTTATATGTTATTATAGTTTACAAGGTATCTAAACACAAATAATAAAAAAATATATTTTTTCTAGAGAATATTTAATGGAGTGTTAACGAATTTTATGAAATTGACCCAAATTCCGTTCTAGGGTGACTTTAATGATAAACCAATTCTAAAATGAAAGGTTTGTCGTTAAAAACAATAACCAGATCTGTCATTTTCTATAATTTCGTCGACTCACATCGCATTCACAAATTACGACAATGGTTTTTCATGGTACTCGATACTTTCTAATTGCCTGAGTGAATTTGTTTCTTTCCTTTCATCACCAATACAACTTTTGATTGATGGAAAGACTTTTTAATCAGATGTAATTTATCTGGTGATTCTGTTGATTGGGAAAAGTAATTGTTTTGGAAATACATATTTCATTCATTATTATCTGAAAATATCGTAAAACGTAATGTTTATTATCAAATTGCCACCTTTCATCTACCTAATTTCAAATTCATTTGATTCCACTGAATATTCATCTAACATCTCCTGTTTTTTGAATCTTTAAAGCCTCATTGAAAAATATTTTTCATATTTACCACAGCTGAAGTTGGCTGGACGATCTAGTTTGATCAAGGCTATGTCATTCAAATAAAACTGTTTCTTATAGTGGGGATGAATCACCCAAAAGTCAATTAAGAAGTCCTGAGGAGGAGCACAATACTTCGCATCGGGATCGCAATCCTCGTTCTTGTCCAAATCATATTCGCCTAATCTCACTCCTATCCTGAAAATGAAAATAACTTATAGAAAATGTTTCGAAATCAAGTGCAAATGATCATATGTGAGCTGATATAGGTATTTCCTTTTTGTCAAGAATAGAGGAAATCTTTGCACCTAACTAAATGCAAAAATATTTCTCATTATGGAATAAAAAAACTGTAATTTGATTTTTGATTATAGAAAAATTCAGTTATTTCTAAATTGAAGTTATTAGTTGCGAGAAGGGGAAACAGAAGATTCAGTGTGAACTCAAATATTCGTCTTTGGCCAACCAATCATCTAATTTTTGTCTTGAAGATTTATCAACATTACGTCTTGTAGTTCCAGTTTGCAAATGTTTGTAACTGTCAATCGATATTCAGATGTTGTCTCCACATCGACGACGCGGATTCTTTCATCAGGTCTTGAATAAAAGGATATAATACAGTCCATTTTCCATTTATACCATAGCAAGTTATTGTCAACCAGAATCACAATATTATCGATTCGAATAGGTTTGCAATCTTTTGTCCACCGGTTTCGCTTCGATAATGTTTGTAGGTACTCTTTCACCAATAGCTCTCAAAAATTGTGAGCTTATATTTTTTCTTCCTACCTTCACATAAATTGGTCCAAAGTAGTCCATTCCAACATCCACAAATAGTCTTACTTCTCGGCTTATTCGGAAGGTATAGGAAGTTGTCCCATCAGAAGAGGTATTGGTTTCACACGTTGTGATTTGCCGATTTGACGTTTTGAAAACATTGTTTTCACGGCCGCTCGTCCGTCGATCACCCAGTATTTTCGCCTCACTTAATTTAAAACGAAGCGTGGCGAAATTTTTCATGGCAATAGTGGATAAGTAGTCTCATGTAACCGTGTTCCGCGATTGCAATTAATTACTGTTTTATACTATCAACTAATCTTGTAGTCTGGTTGGTTTTTCCTCCAACATCTCACAGTTCTTCCTTGATTTCTATGTATAATGAAAGCAGTTGACTTTGATTGGGGCTCTGCCATTCAGTAAATATTTGATTGTGTCTCTAAAACATTCTTGTTAAGTGAATCGAGACCATTTTTCTTCAGCATCTACGTGGGAAATCTGAAAGAGTTTTTTTTTTATTTTTAATAATATCCACAAAACTCAATGTCCAAGCGGTTGTCCGTATCAACTTTAACCACTTTGCGAGTCTCAGACCACCAGGTAGAATAATTCCATATTTCCTTGTAAACTAAAGAGATTTCGGTAATGAAGTCAGCTTTCAGTTTTTTGAGGTCATCTTCTCCAATTAATTGATCGTTTCTATGGTCTTCAGGATAATATTACTCAGATTTTCTTTTAAATCAGGTCCGTTCAACCAATTTTTTGATATAAAGATTCTCGTGTCAGCCGAATGAAATGAGTCCCGTGTTGCTTCATCTGCAGGCTTGCTAGCTGTTGGAACCCATCTCCAATCACCAACATTTGTTCTTTCTTGTATTTCGCCAATTCTATGTGCCACAAGTTGTTTGTAATATCCAGTTGAGAATACATCTGGAATTCGACCAGAAATATGTTTTATGAGTAGATATTCTAGTTCTTTTCTTATTGTGTGACCTAATCGACTTGACATAACAGTAACTTGCAACGCTAGTCTTGGAATTGAATGTACGAATTTTTTTAGGTATCATTTTGCAGTAACAACGGAAAATTCTGACGGTCGTTATTTTTTCAAGGTCTTCTAAACATCCTCTTCAAGTTTGTCGGGTGAGTAATCGCCCCTTCTTTTCCCAGAACGCCACATATCCTGCATAAATATCTTTCATCCGTAGCAAAGCAACCAAAAAATTCCCATTATTAATTTCAGAATGCTTCTTTTTATTGATGTTTCATCACGAATCAGTTTTTGTTGGTTCGATCTAAATGGAAATTCATCTCCGCCCGGAGTCCCAACACCCTGTGCATTAACAACTCAAAAATTTTTTAACTGGCTAGTAGCATTTCGTCTGATAATTTTTTTCTGTTAGTAATGATTTTGTCATCCAGTTTACGATTTCAAAACCTGCAATTTTCAGAATCTTGCAAACTTCTTGAATATTGAAGAAAAGAGAATTGAAACTTTCTATGTTTTTTACCAATTTGAAAGTTTGAAAATGTCCTCATAGGACGAAACTGCAGTAACGTTAGTTACAAATGAAAGTGGTAAAAAACATAGAAAGTTTCAATTCTCTTTTCTTCATTATGATTTCCTACCATGTAGTAACGGCTACATCCATCAATTTATTCTTGAATATTATTCAAAGCTTCTTCTTCCTTTCCTCTCAAATCAAGGTAGCATTTTCTAATGATTGCTATGCACTTGTTCGGCATTCAAATTTATCACGAATTGCGCGCACACAGGAGAACATGCGGCGCCAAATTTCATGACGAGCATTTCGTATATGTTTCAATTTCAATGATTTTCACATTCACACGTTGTGAATTATGTTGGGACGATATATCTTCTTTAGTCCACTGTAGGCAGAGTGTTTCTTTGAGGCCAGGTAAACCACGGTATTCAACAAATTTTACATCCAAAGGTGTGACAGTAGACGCTTCATCATACAAGACAAGTACAGAAATATATCCTGCAGGATCGTACAATTTCACAAGAATCGTTCGTAGAATAATCTTTTTATATCATGTCACATGACAGAATCGAAAGATCATTGGACAACAAAGAATCCGCCCTGGATATATTCATAGATATCGAGGGCGCGTTTGATAAAACAGCCTTTCCAACAATTACCCACCAACTAAACTCCAGGAATGTACCCCTGGTAGTGGGAGAATGGATACTCAAGATGCTCTCTAGTAGAGCAATAGTATCAATGTAAAAGAAATCACTGTGAGAGAACTGTTCATGAGGGAGTGTTCACATGGAGGGGTCTTATAACCCCTTCTTTGGAACATAGTTCTGGACACCCTTATTAATCACTTCAACAATAATGGATCCTACATAATTGTATATGCAGATAACATAGTTATCTTGCAAGCCGGGTTAAAGGGCACGACAGGAGTAAAGGTAATCGCATTGCCGACTCTAGCCAAGAAAGCACCCGGACTAAAAATTTTAGGACCCAGTGACACCTACGGTCTGATGGCTTCGACAATTGCGAAATTTGCAGCCAAACGTCACACCCATGCTCAATCCCTAAAGAGTGGGATGGAATCAAAGAATGCAGTCTTGTCTAGATCACCCTGTGCGACCCTGGGAAGGTGGCGCTGAAGCAATATCTAACGATGACCAGAAAAAACCTACGCAACAGTAGGTTTTTCCTGGCCACTGTCAACTTAGGAAACACCTCCATATTATGGGGCTAGTGGACACACCTCTATGCAGGATGTGTGAACAGGAAGATGAAACTGTCTTGGCCTACACCTGCCGATATAAAGGAGATGTCTCCTACTGACCTGTCCACCTTCCTGGAAAGGACAGGATGGACGATGACACTACTCGGGAGGATGTATAATGGGTCACATGTGGCCTAAGTGCTGTGAGCCTACACTCATCCCCCCTACTCTACAAATACAGATCATGTCACATGACGCAGACCGACTCAACTTCTAAAGATTGTTCTTATGGCTGGTGTGTTGTTCGTGAAGCTGGTAATATCCATCAATGTTGTATCTCTTCCTACCGCTATACTTTTCCTTTTATCGACACTGTCAGCCTTCATTTGGGGAAATACATCGATATAGTTATAGGTATAGCCAAGTAGGTACATTTTTGCCGTCCATCTCTACAAGATACCTGGGAGTCACCCTCGACAGAAGACTGACGTTCAGATCCCACATACGGTAGAAACTAGGGCTAGCGAGAGCCGCCCGACAAAACCTTTATCCAATTATAGGCCGCAGGAGAAACGTGGGTCTCCATGTAAAACTGCTTGTCATCAAGACCTCCACTGACTGGGGACAGTGCGCAGCGACGTACTGGCGCAATATACAGACGTATATGAACGCTTGCCTACGAGCTGCCGTGATCGACCCAAGATACATGCCAAACAGATACATCAGCATCAACTACGTAGACGCTTACATGAGAAAGCACGCCGAAAACGAACGCCGAATACGAACATACGCCAGTCCAGCGCTGCATGACCTACATGAAGGGACGACCTGGGGACGACCCCAGATTTCGCGAAAAGGATTATCACATGAGGCCCACGAAGCAGAACCAACGACCACCTCCGAGAGTCGCTGTCAGGCGACTCCGGCAAGTATAAAATTTCATTAACGGATTACTAATACACTTACAGATACTCAGATCCTAATTTAATTCGCGACCGAAAGACACTTGTCTCCGGTAAGGTTAAGGGGATGCATACATTACATCCAGAAAATTCACGACAAACAAAATCAACAGAGTACGAAAGTACTAAAGGGCTAAAAGTTGACCAACTAAAGGTTGACTTTTGACCGCAAGAGGTCAGATGTCAATCTTGCTGAAGTGTCCATCAGTAGGTTGAGGTCCACTCAAGAATGAGTAGGGTGGGTGGACTGTACTATACACTAACATGCTCATATGAACGTTTTTTGTTCATTTTTTCCGTTTTTTCTTATTATTTTTCACATATAAACCCTGCAAACCAAAACCCACAATAATTGAAATGAAAAATGAAGATAATATGGAACATTTGAATTTTTATTTTTTGCATCCTCCATGTTGATAAGAAAACTGTTCGAATTAGAAACCAAACATCGACTTTTTTGTTGAATATACCACTCGACTACAATTTAACTTGAAATTATCGAGACTTGCTTGGGAAGTTGGCTTCAANGTATAGAGGAAAAGAATATTTATATAGGGAATTACGTTACATAGCAAAAATACGTACCATGAATGTGCCGAATAATAGAAAATATAATTGATTTATTCGAGAAGAAGTACAAAATTCACACTTCTTAACTGATATTTACTATGAGTAAAAAATATTTCTGATAGATACTCACATTGTAGTATTCGATATGCAGTGAGCAGCTGTCAAAACAAAACGCTCATTGATGACTGTTCCTGCACATTTGAAGGATACACCTTTTTCTTCATCTGAAATATAGAAATAGATATTACATAATATCGATTTGAGAAATAAGATATTTTCATGGAAATTATATCATCAGTGGGGATTATGAATATTGAATGTATATAAATATCAGAATCCTTGTGGCTGAAGGTTCCAACCGTTCCACTCACTTCAATGAAATTCAAACATTGTCGAAACTCAAACCTATTCTATACACCGGGTGTCTTGAACAATTCCTAACTTGGAGCATATTAGGTAAATCAAAATAAGATTTGGATTTAGGTGAGAAATTATATGTGGAGGAGAGTTTTTGTTTAGTTTCGCTCATTTCAACATTTTCAGTCATGTGGTGGAATCAAATGTGTTAAGACACTTGAACACTTTACGTGAAAGTATCTATAGATGAGAGACAAATCTCCAACCCTTTTTCGATGTTCCAGACTATTAAGGCTCTTTTCTGGGTGGAATCCAGCAGCTTCCGGGTATATATAGGGGCAGAGCTCCATACATGAAAACAATACTCCAAAGAAGGTTTGAGCTGAGCTTCGAAACTTGCTGAGGTGTGTACGGTTTTCTGCTTTTGAGGAACAGCCTCTGAAATTCCGGCACTCATGATGATTGTGCCAAGACATATTAGTGTCCATTTCAACTCCCAACAAACTTATCGAAGCAGAAAACGAAATTGTTTGTCCTGATAATATTTTAACCGGTTCGAAAACATTTTTTTTTTGAGAAAATCGATGCCTGGATTTTCGTGTCATTGAAGTGAACCTGGTTACTTTCATCCCAATTCGAAATCTCCTCTAGATCCTCATTAAGATGTGCAACCTCCTGCTGCCGGTGTCGAGGTGTTAAAAATAACGATTTGGTGTTGGAAAAAAACTCCAGTAATATTCAGAAATTGGAGAGTTGAGAAGTTCTCGCTCCTGAACTGAATTTACAGGGAGGTCAGTTGGAATATATAGTGGAGTAGTGGAATATATAGTGACCTTGTTGGAAGTGATTTTATCTGGGATTGGGTGCCGTTTATGTTTTGATTTTTCATAATCGACAGCTCCTCACTGTATTTCAATTTGTTTTCGAACCTTTTGATAAAATTGTCATGAATCCAAAACAAGCGCTGTGCCCCGCCACCAGAACTTCAACACTGTTTTGGGCATGTGTTTCACTAAGCAAGTTGATATCTTCAGGAGATGAAGTAGTCATAGGCGACCTTGATGGCCACACTGATACCTTTGCGATGTTCACTATTGGCATACCTGTAGGACTGTTCGTAAATTGAATCGTTGATTGCACCATGAACCGTATGTGTTATGCTTTTGGATATCTTTCAAACACATATATTTTAATAACAAAGGTTGAAACTACATAAAAACTTTTCGTTAGCTGGTTAGCTTTTTACTGAAGTTGACATGGTATGGTAGCGAGCCACGTAAAAGATCAAGAAAGTTTTATTGGAATTTGTAAAATTCGTGATTCATAGTGACACAACGAAAACTCACCTAACTTATAGACAATCAGTGCCATCCAAGGAAATTCATTTATAACAGTTTCCATTCCATTTGTTATCCGTCCACTAATCATTGTTGCTCCACAGGTACTTTGAGGAAGCAAATGATAATTTCGATGAGATATTATTGATCCTGAAAACCTATATGATGAAACTTTTTCTTGTCCGATTTCCATTGTCGGTTGAACTGTGGGAACAGTTTTTCTCGTCCTACAGCAGACATAGGGCCAGTTTCTTTGGAAGTCGCACTGGTTTGCTTTTATTTCATCTATGACACTTTTTGTACGGGGATTGGGACTTCTGTTAAGTAATTCGTCGAAATAGGGACATTTCCTTATTTCCACGCAATACTCTCCTCGTGGATAGGTGCAAGTCACAACCTTGAACCCTGAAATAAGTGAACATATTTCAGATGACAGTCATAACCACATAATAATTATATACGCCGACCGAAATAAATGGTCTTTTTTACATTTTTCAAATGATATCTTCTATGCGACCTGAAAATAGTGTTATTGTAGATTACCAATAACTTCCACCTTCAAGTAATTTCTGTTTGTAATAATACGGAAAAGAAACATTTCATTTTCAACGTTTCAATTCATCAGTTAGGATATAGCTACGACAAAATTAGATCAGTCAAAACCCTTGAGCTTAATGAGTTGAAAATTTTCAGCAACACCGGTTTCATGAACAATGTAATCCAATGAATATCACTGGAGTATTTTCCCAAACAAGAGAAAAAAAAACAGTTTGACCTTCCTCTTGAAGATGGTCACTTAGTGATCGAAACACGTGTCGAGGTGTTAAAATAAAGGTTTGGTGTTGGGAAAAAACTCCATTAATATTCATTACTACACCAAAGGTTCGAAACATTGCATCAAAAGTGTAATCCAATCTTTAAAAAGGATTAATACATGAAAGGTATCAAGATACTGTGGATAGATTATTCATCTGATAGAGTAGTGAACATAGTCTCCTTATGAAGTCATATTCAGAGTTTTGCCCCTCGGTTCATATATTATGCACATTAAGTCGCCCAGGTGATAATTGGTTGATTAGAATCCACGATGAAGGGCACTGTGAACACTCATCAGAAAGTTCCATTCATTTTGAAGATTTTTAGCTCTGAAATGTCAACGATATCCGGGAAATGCAAAAATTAAATCGATTTTAAATAGAAAGCTATCATATTGAGCTGAATATTGACTAAAATTCCTTCAGAACAAATTGTAGTTTTTGCCATTTTTCAAGTATTTGATTTTCGCTTGCCAAAAGGTTCGGATAAGTTTAGTTTATCAATCCTAAAGAAATAATCCTTTCAATTTAGATCTCATAATCTTTTTAATTTATCATGAATGGGGAGCTCAATTCCGGAACAGGTGTAAATGATGTAACTTGAATCAAAAAATTAAAAAAAAATCCTTCTGCCAAGTGGAATCCTTGGTCTCCGATTTGAGGCCTTCTGATTTTTTTTGGATACCCGTAAAAAACAAAATGTATCACACTCCATATGCCTTATCAGTATACCTACGAGGATGAATTATTAATGTATTTTACGATGTGACACCGCATGTACTCATTGCCAATATCAACGTATATAACGTAAAATCTATAAAATTTTTGCATTTTCAGAAAATGTTTTGTTGGCATTTCAAAGCTGCGTATCTGCGTATCTCCCAACTAAATTCCTATTGGATAACGATCAGCCCCTTGCCAGCCAGTGTCGCACTTATAATTAGTTTTAATTAGGGTAGCAAATGGAACATGTAATTTCTTTTCATATTTTATTTAGAATTATAGGCACAGTTCATTAAAATGTTATACAATGATACACTCTTGATGACTGGTTTTTTGTTAGGCGATGACATTTTTTGAGAAACAACACAAATTATTCAGACAATGCCAATCGCCAACAACATTGGAGAATAAGTAATTATATGATACGCTTCTGTACGGCGCATTTGTATGTCTTACAAGAGCTGTAGTGGGGGTTATATTAAAAATGAATTGGTGTGCATGTGGGCAGGCTCGCCATCACGTTTGGCGCTTGCTGTAGATGATAAGATAGAAAATAAAAATGTACCCGTAGGAAAAATCTCAAATTCGAAAAAACAACCGTCTCCCAGTACCAGTAACGGAAATATGAATGTATATAAAATATGCATATAAAATCCTCGATACCATATGTTATGATATCCAACTGTTCAAGTTTCACCATTAGTTTTATCAACAAGGAATGATTTTGTTCATGAGAATTGTCAAAATATGTTCATAGATATTGTTAGTCAATGAAAGCGTTTTGTCATGAAATTTATTGATATTACTGTCACGTGCTAGAAATAGCACGTTGAAAGGTAAGGCCTCGTTTGCCTTAGCTCATTAGTTTTGACTTCTGAGGGGGGCGACGGCTGGTTAACCAAAAACACATTTTTCAACAAACTCTCATTCAGAATATCGTTCACAACTGAATCTTATTTTGAAATATTCCTTTTAAAAGGAATTTGCGAGGAATCGGCATTACTTGCTCGAATGATTTATGACAAACTTTATTCTCAATAGTAATGGCCACATTTCTCGTTCGCTGAATAATATACTATCGTTTCAGTAAATTTTATCAAAATCATTATCATTATCAAAAGTTAGAAGCTGATGATGTGACTCTATGGAAGAAAAAAAAGGGTATGTGTTCTGCTACCCGTGAGGAGCCGAGTCGGATTGCCAGTTCCCTAATAATAATAATGCTTATTTTTACTATAGAAAGAGTGCTGATTGATCAGTATCCCCACTCTTTGGAATCAAATCACAGAGCGCATGATCGAATCCGAGCGGTTTGTTTTTGGATGCGCCGTGAATTGCCTCAATAATCGGCGAGTTTACATGTCTGAAATGTTTCATATAATTTACCGCTTTTGGCAACATTCATAAATATAATTTTCTTCTATCGTACATATTACCTTAAAATTTATAGTTTAAGTATTATAATTGTGACCATTGACTCAAGTGATGATTATTCTTTACCATGTTATTTTCTGTATGCAATGTAATATTATATACTTATATCTTTAAACGTATTCAAGAGATGTATTTGTAGCAGATATGAATTATATATTTTCATCCAGGGCTTAATGAACGAATAAATGAATAATTCAATTGAATTGTTGTGTTCTCATTTATAGCACATATTCTGCGGGTGTCATTAACCAAACAAAAAATGTGCCAATACTCATTTTCAACAATAGTCAGATTATCAGATTTGTATCAGTTTGATATGTAGTCATTGAATTATTTTTCAACACAATCAAAGATTTATTAAAAAACCAAATATCGAATATTTTTGCGTTAAATACTATAAAAAATAAAATAATTTCTCTTAGTGGTCGGTCGGTAGCCAAGCGGTTCGGCGTGGGTGCTTTGTTCATTCACCGAATTGACTGCCGTGTTGGTCGGTGGTTCAAGTCTTAGTATGAACGATCGATCTTCACTTGCTATCGTCCAACCCGTGTTAGGAATCACACGTTAAAAGGTAAGACCTCGTTAATCCTTAGCTCGCACAAGTTTCGACTTCTGAGGGTTGTCGTTCGTAGGGGTGCGACGGCTGGTTAACGTAAAAACAGGTTTTAAACAGATTTTTTTTAAACAGTATACTGTCTTAAATCGATAAAGATAATGAGTGATTGCAACTTTGAAAATACTCGTAATACTTAGAACGAGAAACGTGGGATTCGTGCAGTTAAGAGTAAGGAGTGTACCAAGAGCTGTCGTTAAGAAAACTGAACAGTTCTTACAGTGTGTCAATTCTAAAACTTACAATGGGCTATATCTCACGAATGAAAGCTGGTATCAAAAAATGCTTGAAACCGTTTCTAGGAGAGTAAGGGGAACTAAAGTGACATGAAAGAGAACTCACCCCTATCAACCCCCTAGGCCCCACCCACCAAAACTCAAAAAGTTCAAATTGCAAACCCCTACTTGTGAAACATCATTGAAAAGACTATAAAAAATGATATCCAATGGTATATTTAATAATTGTACATGGTGAAACTTTGGCTTAAATGGAAATTTTAATGAGGTTTTGTTGAACTACAAATTTATTAAAAATGTCAATTAAGTAAATGTTCAAAGTGAGTTCCGTTGTTTTGTAAACAATAATACAGCCTATTGTCAAAGTCTGCACGAACTTTAATATCAGCCGGCTTACTAGGCCTTTTTAATTTGTAATGCTACCTCCTGGACTATTATTTTAAATGATAAGTGTCTGTTCATACTTTTTTTGTTAAATTAAAACTTAATTTGCCGTATTTGCAAAACAAGTTGGAAAAATCTGTTTTTTGGGTTCTGTTAGTCAATAATTTTTGGTTTGTTTGAGACTTTTAAATGTCATTAGTTTTCATCATTTGTACGATCTGTACTGTCATTCAGCTGTAGTTGTCACGATGGTTTACAGTATACCTGACCGCGTGAAAATAATTTTCATATTTGCCTTCTAAAACCAGTGTTATTTAAAAACAGCTCAAATATTTCATGAAAAGCATCCGGACAAAAATGTAAGTCATGTGTACGTCTGCGATTTAGTTGACAAGTTTAGAGAAACGGGATCAGTGCAAAATAAAAAAAGGAATGCCAAGATTACTGAATGAAGCAACCCAAATTGAGGTCCTTGGAAATTTTGCAGTGGAGCCTACTGCATCAACACGTCAAGTATCTGCAATGACAGGACTTTCACGTGAGTCAAGAACTAGGCGATGATGATCCAGACCGACGAATTGAGTTTTGTGAACTCATGACTGAAAGAATTCGCGTTGAACCGAGAATGTTAAAAAATATTTGTTTCAGTGGTGAATGTACTTTTATGCTGAATGGTAATGTAAATAAACAAAACTGTCGGTACTGGAGTGATGCGAAACCGCATCGATTCAGAGAAGGTCACACTCAATATCCTGAAAAAGTGAATGTTTGGGCAGGAATATTAGGCAATGCTATAATTGGTCCCTTGTTCATACCAGGTAATTTAAGTGGCGACATTTATCTCGATATGCTGAAAAACACCATCGAACCTTTAATTGTGCATGAATCAGAAAACCAAAAGGACGACCAAGGCAACCTAGCTTTAGACGAATTTCTCCTCTTTTCTGACGATATTTGTCTCGCCAGGAGCTGAAAACTCCATGACAAATATCGTTTTGGTCTGGTGGTCGAGAAGGACTACATCATTATCATAATATACACTATCATTATTATTGTTATCACTATTTTTGTTGTTATTCAAGCTGTTATTATTTAGAACAACGGAAGATCCTGTATATTTCATTCTACTCCAGTTGATTAGTCATTTAGGGTTGAGTCATACATACACTTTGTTTCTTTGTGTTTAGATTCTTATGTAAATCTGAGTAATCGAAAGAATGATTAGAAAATATATTTGAGGAGAATAAAGTATACTTTTGAACAGTGAACATCGTTTAATTTATTTTCCGCTGTTGCGCTATTTTTAAAACCAGAACCAGAGTGCATAGTATAATCAAAAAGGTCAAAGTAATTCGATATTTTTCACGATCTCCCATTATCAAAGGTATATTCATTCATACATATATTATAAATGTTTGCCAGTCACTTACATTTGAGTAGCTGTAAAGAACATATGTTTATAATAAAAGCATCATAACAAGTTGCAAATCACAACACAAGAAACTATGGAACAATTGCTCAAGATTAGGATACACAAATAATATATCAATAGCTTATAGGAATATTTCTAGAAATATCGATATTAATCTGTTTGTCTTCAGGAAATTATTTAAAGGTCCGCCATTTTATAGTAGTTGAAGATATTGACATTATATTGTGAGGCATTTGTCAGGAGCTTCAAAAAGGCGTGTCCCTTTCCATTAAATTTTTGGCGCCCGGTCGCCATCTTGAAAGTTTCATCTGTCAATATCACTTCAAAATAAAGTATTCATGCATTAATTTCATTATCCCAAATTTCAATTTTTTGAGTTGACCCGTTCAAAAAATAAAAGGAGGGGGACATTAAAGAAATGCACTGTATATAAATCTGTTTATATATGTATATGTATAATATAAACATGTATATACATATATCAATTTCCTACAAATATTTCAATTTATTATGGGTTTTCATTGATAAATTAACATTTTTAAATGGATTTTTTTATATTAGTTTATTATTTTCATCATCGGATACATCAGTAATTACTATAGTTAATTGTAAAACCGAGACAATAAGCTTATGGTATGAGAAATAAGATATATATAGTTTCGAATGGAAATTAGGAAGATATCTAGAGAAAACTGCATCGATTGTTGTCTCATGTTTTGAAGTAGGATCAGTTCGGCTATTATTCATTTGTAGACAAATTTGGAGAGAAAAAAATTATTATTCAGTACCTTTCGCTTCGAAATCAATGGGCCAAAAATGCTATCAGTATTTAGCAACAAAAATATTTAATCTCCTTCCCTAAACACTGCAAAACGAAACGTCAGCATTCAGATTTAAAAAAGATTCAAAACTATTAATGAAACAATCGCCTCGTCATTATATTCGGTCAATAATTGAAAATTGAAAGTAATTTTAGATATTCATAACTCATAATGTTATCCTAAGTGCACTTAGTACTTGTATATCGGTATATTCGAGTATTTTGAAATCCTACAAGTTCATATTTTTCATCTCAATATTTAGATACTATTCAACATTTTACATGTGTTCACATTTGAACACATTTGAAAGTTTATTACATTATCAACACTTAGAGCGTTCAGAACCAATTATATTATCTATATGCAGTATCTATAATTCGTTATTATATTACCTGCGATTAATTCAATGTGTAGAAGCGTGCATGTTATATGAGAGTGTGTGCATGTGTAAATATATTGTATGGTAGTCTGCATTAATAATTATACTTATTTTGTTCTCACAATAATTATATACTTGATTTTATTATAGTATATTTAGTATAGTACCTACTCTCGAATAATGTTTGTATATACACAAGCAGTACCTACTGCTTCTGTGATATATTCTTGTTTATTCACAATAATGCTACATTTGTTAAATTATACTATGTAATTATTTTTCTTGTGTAAATAAATATTATTATTATGATTATTTCATCTTGTAGAGAGTTTACTAAGAGTTGTCCATCTTCGGATGCGAAATTAACATTGAAATATCCTGCTGAAATTAGTGCCAACGTA